TGAACCATGTGCTAAGCCATGATATCAAGTCACCATAAATGCCAAGGCACAAACACCATAAACTTTCCTATAAATAGTAACAAAGTTTTGCTAAATTAGCACCACTGAAGAACACTTGGAATTTGAGTCTTACCAAACAACAAGGCACAAAACACTTTAAATGTACCCTAAAGAAGTCTAAATGATACACACACACCCTAAATGAGTAATTCTAAAAATCAATCATTATATAAATGCAAAAAGAATTTTCAACAGTACTCCCGCCCAAATAAGCCCACAGCAAGAATATAGACCTTGAAGCAGCATTGAACAATTCCCATTTAAAATAAAACATAAATAAAAAATAAAAAACTGCTCAGCGTCTCAGAGATGGATATATCTTGCCAAAAGAGGTGTACAACAAGGAATGGACTTTACACCATGAGATAACTTCTCCATAAAACTTTGAACAAACTAAATTAAAAACAGCATTCAGTTGACTAGCCTGCTTCCCATTTTAATTGTCAACAGCATGTCAACTCAGACAGAAAATCTTGCCAGCTATATCGCAAGACATGTGTTAAACTAAGACACTACAATCCATTTTTAATATATAAATGCAAAAATAACATTTCAAATAAGATGCCATTACTTGAAAATAGAAAATCAACTGGAATTGTACCTCGATTCCTGTGCAAAGTTTACTTCTGCTATACAATATAAACAGCCTCTCATTTCTAGCCAATTCTTATCACAAATCATCTATGACTTCAGTTTATTCTTTAATTCTTTCCACTATAATATTGCAAAACATGTTGAAAATCATGAACAATTTTTTATAATCAGGAATGTGAATCGGTTTCAGTTATGAACAATGAAGTTTTGTGTAATATGTGTATAAGAATCTTACATTCATTATATGTATAGTAAATTTATTAATTTAAGTAGCTAATGAATGTCTATTTTCTCACTATTTTTATTTCTAATCTCCCATATGCTTTTCTTTCCCACGTGATATTTTCGTAACTGACTCAAAACGGAGAGAAGCATGCCTAGTGCTCATAAGTTATATAAATCACCTAATCCTCTGAAAAATCCTTGGTTGTTAGGATTCATCCATCAAGATCTCTACCCATACCATCTTATAGTCACGCATTTGACAAATATCGAATTGCATTCATGCCCATGTCTTTAAGGATGAATCTGCAGTTGGTGGTGCTCATTTATTCTTTCCACTATAGTATTGCAGCTTTTGATAATCAGGAACGTGAAGCACTTTGAAGTTATAAACAATGAAGTTTTGTGTAATATGTGTATAAGAAAGCCTACATTCATTATATGCTTTCTACTGCAAAATAACTCTTTGAAACTATCACAATCCTTTTGATGTTTGTCCTTCATACTAACAAATTCTGTTGGAGAAATTAATTCTCTGATTGATATGGAACAAAGAAATAATCTCTCCATCCCAATTTGTAATATACACTTTCCATTTTGGGTTGTCCCAAAAATATGAACATTTTCTTGAATTGAACTCCACTAACTTTTTAGTTTCCCACTTTATCACTCTTTCTACCACTTACTTCACCCTTTACTTTTTGTGGACTTATCTTACTTTTTGGAGTTTAGGTTATTAAAACAACTACTTTATGTTTTATTTTCTTAAAACCCGTGCCAAATCCACATGTATCTTACATTATGAGATGGATGTAGTGCTAAATAGACATTTACTCGCTCACAAATCATGAGTGCATATCAAACTAAGGAGAGATGTAATGTTTATCTGTTATATTTAGCTCATATGAATGCATCATTTTCCATATGATTTGTGTAGATTACAAGAATGGGAAAAAATCACAATTGCAAAAATAGTAGAAGATGGGTCATTTGAATACAAATTGTAAAAACTGAAGTACCATTAAAAAAAACTTACCACTAAGAGCTTTTCCAATAAGAAGCAAATGTGATTTCAAAAATCATATCTTTAACAGAATAACTCTTCATCTAAAGCCATACATTTACATTCACTATAGATGTACATGCTAATATGCTATTCTGTATCTCTATATATATAAAAGCTGGACCGCCTGGGATAACTGTTCCCGCCTGTAAATGATGACTTCACTGTGAAACCATCATGATGTCATCACGGGATGATGTGACACGTGCTCACAGTTACTCCGCAGAATTTTCGCTCCCCTCCATATTAAGGCAACACTGCCGGCTTATTGGTTGGTCATTAAATTACAGCTCACTATAACTCCTTAATTTAGTAAATTATTCATCGTTTAACTGAAATAACAGATGAAGAACGAACCTCAACAACACCCTCTAATTGATCTATACACTACTGATATGATATAAAAAGTTATGTAGGAACAAACAAAATAAGATGCGACAAAATAACAAGAGAGTTAGACAGTTAGTAATAATCGACTAACCTCGGATACTAGACGAACGGCGTGGTGTAGACTGCGTCCGACGGTCCGACCTAAGGGGAAGAGGAGCTTGCAAGGGAGAGAGCAATATAGCGTATGACCGTCTGAGTGAGAGATGAGCGGCAGAGAGATTTTAAATCATTTAATCTGGCCCGGATCAAAAACTTTGCAACTTTGGGCCAATAACTTTTAGACCGGATCAAACGCTTTGCCACTTTGGCCCAATAGCTTTTACCGTCCGTATGGTAATACCAAAATTGACTGATTCTGTTGATATTTATGAAATTTAGGTTGAATTGGCTGAATTGACTGATTCTACTGATTTTTAAAAACTTATATTTCAAATATATTTTATTAATAAAATAAAGAAAATATTATATGGCTATCAAAAACAAAGAAAGAAAAAGATTATATGTAAAAAATAACTAACATAGTCCCTCTACGCTAACTCCAGTCAATACAGTCATGAAAATAACTTTAATCTTACTATTTTTTATTATTACATAATTCATCGTGAAAAATCAAAAATTATGTGTTTGTTGCAAAATTTGTATGATAAGCTAAAAATGGGGTTACGAAACGGTCTCTAAATCGTCTTAATTTGGCAGATATTAAATTGTTCTCCCAATCACTTAAAAATTGCCAACTTTTTCCTATTGTCTCGCTAATTCTGTCATTTTTTCATTTGATTAGAGAATTTGTGCTTCACTTTAATTTTTACTTCTCCTCACAAATTTTAATCATTGTTTTTAGTTTATTACTCCATATTTTTTGTATCATTCAAACTTGGTCAAAATTTAATGGACAAAGAGAGTATATATTTTTTTACTCATTATGTGGTAACATTAGAAATGGTCAAATGGGTTGAATCTATTGAAACTAATGAAATTCTAGCTGATGACCGACTTCACTAAATTGTTGATTTGTAAAAATATTTTTTTATGAAATACCTTTACATTTACAACTTAAGCTAAGTCTAATCAAACAATATTAATAATATGGTTTCTTATTTATGAAATATGTGACTAAATTCTATTGTAAGTTGGACAATACTCATATTTTTCGATACACCACTCGATCTACACCCCCAGATGAATTTTTTGGGTCAGCCACTGCCGACTAGCAATTACTACATATGTTCTATTTTAATTGCAACATTGACCTTTTGCACTATTCATATATTCTATTTTGACTATATTTTATTTATTGATGTATTATAAATTAAATTTTTAAAAAATATTTTTAAATTCCTCCATTTTAAATTATTAAAATCTGAGTTTTTTAATTTTTTTACTAATAAGAAATGAAAGATATTAATGGTCAAACGTTTGCGTTGACATACGTGAAAAGTGAACTGTTGCAACTAAAAATGAACGGAGGAAGCACATTCGATTACATTAATTAAAAATGACCATGCTTATGTCGTCCTATAATGTCTTCACATATTCTCCCCCGACTCCCGTCCATTGTTTTATTCTCATTTTCCGATGAAACATACTCCAATTTAATTGTTTCAAAAGGCGAAATCTCCCACCCCAGGAGTCCCCCACATCCCGACCCGAAATGATTTTTGGGAGAATGTAAGTCACGATGACTCATAGTCCAATTTAATGGCATGACCAAATGACTCCATTCCTATTTAAACTTCAAAACAAATTTACTTTGCATCTCAATTTGTGAGCTATATTAGATAGAAAGATTTATAATATAGGTACACACAGATTTATTTTGTGTTTGACACTTCCATTAAATACTCCCATCATTTGCAACGCAGCCAAAAACTCATGTTTTTTTGTTTGGAAATATAATGTAATAAAACAAAGTAGCTGATTGTGTACCGTACGCTAGACTCTGACTTACTCAACATTTGGTAGACTCATTGATCTTTTTTATGTATAAATAAACAAAAAATGATGTTTGTACCCATTCTTATACCCACTTTTGTACTCACCTATGTTTGTGAGGTTTTTTTTGTCTGTGAACATCGATTCACAGACAAAATTTTGCACAAACAAAATATTGTGGATATTTTGTTCACAAACCGAGTTCACAGAAAAAAACTTCACAAATATGGTGAATATAAGGATGATTACATCAAACATTGTTGAAGGATCATGTTGATTTATAGGGTCCCAACTCCCAACACAATTTTAGTCAAGAATTCATGTCGTACACAAATTAGTGTTATACGCACTTTTACGCGCGTCCGTAAACGTCGTCTATCACCGATAAATCGTGTTTTATAAAAAAATGACACCACATCCCTGAGGGCCCCCAACCCGATCGGACGGTACGTTGGGAGGATGTAAGTTGGACTATAATCACAATCTGACAGATAGATAGTTGGGCTATGTCCCCGGTACTTGCATAGGCCCTGTGCATTTTTAGCATAGTTATCCCTCGTCGAAGTTGACGGGATTCGAACCCGAGATCTAACCCTTGTGACACTCACTTTCTACCGGTTGAGCTACGCCCACGTATAAATCGCTTTTTATAAAAGTAGATGCAAGGGTATTTGCCTACAAAAAGCTTTTTTCATACTCTGTACTCCGTATAACTTTCAAGTCACCCTTGCATGCATGCCTACATGGTGAATTTTGAATTGAACTGCTTAGTTGGTAATTGGTATGACAATATCTTGATTTGTGGTTGTATAAATATTAATTAGGTAAAGTTCAACATTGATTCAACATATATATAAATATATTCCGAAACTTACTAGCTTGTAAATTGTAATGTACAGTCTTGTTTCCATACTCGACCATCTTGACAGGTCGAGATTTCACCATGTAATGTAATGTATGGTTCAGAGTTGAATGCTAAAATGCCTGGTGTCATCACCACGGTTAAGTGAGAAAGTTGAAGTTACAGTCTCGTTTCCATACTCGACCCTCACTTTGTATTCTCCAAGAAACCCAAAGAAACTGTACCTTCCATGCTCGTCCGTTTCTCCCTCCAAGCTCTGGGTTCGCCACTCCTTCAGCAGACCATCCACAACCTCCCCAGCCGGCAGGTTCTTCAAGCTGTTATCAGTAAGGCACATCTGGTAGCACCCCTTCGGATCAAGGGCCGTCCAGAGCATTATCCCGTCCACGCCCGGATGCGAGAACCCCTCTCGCAGGACTTTTTCCAAATACCTTGCCTGCGTTTCTTGGCCGAACTTCTTGTTGATGTCGATTTCCGTGAGCCATATGGGAAGCCCCAAAGTGGCGAGTTTATCAATGGTTGCTCTGATCAGAGGAGGGTTTGGGACTGAGAAATGTCCCTCTACTCCGATCCCGTCCATTGAAATTCCTCCCTTTTTGAGCTCCTTCATCTTAGTTATGTACATGTCCACGGTCGATTTCGGGTCGGAGCACGTCTCCACCACGTTGAAATCGTTCATGAACAGGGTCGCGAGCGGGTCGGCTTCGTGGGCCGTCTTGAAGAACTCTAAGGTCGCGTTTGGCCCGAGCCTCTGCTCGTAGAAATCGAAGTGTAGCATTTCGTTGCTGACGTCCCAATGGATGAACTCGTCTCTGTATCTCTCCATCAGGCTCGTGATTCTGGACTGGACGGCGGATTTCAGGTCCGGGCCGGTCAGGTTAAGAACCCATTGGGGGGTGTATTTGGGATCTTCCCAGAAGATGTTGTGGCCTCTCACTATAATCTGGTGTTCTCTAACAAAGCTGAGCATCTGGTCGGGAATGGTGTAGTTGAGGTGTCCTTCATCTGGTTCTGTTGCATACCACTTCAGTTCGTTCTCAAACACTGCTGCATTAAATCTTTCTGCAAACCAATCCTGCGTGAATGAGATTTTGTTAACTCTCTGCTTTTATTACTTTCAAAGATGAATAAAAAAGACTTTACAAAACTTTAAACAAAAGTGGCCACTCACCACCTTTCAACTTTCAAGGTTGTTTAGAGACTAATGATAATTATTTGTAAAAGGAGTAGGAAATATTATTTATTTGACTATTAGTAATGATAATTCTAGTTGATCAGGTCATCTTTATGAACAAAGGTTTTTCATTTGGGACCTTTTCCAGTTTTCTAGTTGATCAGGTCATCGTTGGTGCACCAGATTACCCCTTTTAGTGATCAAATTTGAAGAAATGTGATATGTTGTAGTCTTATTTATAATTTTTTTGTCTAAAATAGTCTTGAGCTACCTTGCTTGACTTTTTAAGATGAATGCAAGTTCTAATGTCGTAAGAAACCCAAATAACATCAAACAAGCATTTGCAACGTACACTGTCTAGTTAAGTGTAGAAAAATAAGAGAAATATCTTTCCCCGAATTTGAAATGAGTCAGGGCCGGGGTTAGCTGTTTATTATCTATGCCATGTTACAGGTCATATATAAAAAATACTGCTAGAATTATTAATTTATTAGGAACCTTCTGAAACCTGATAGGGCAAATTTCCAATGATGGACTTTGCTATGGCAGATCCGAACGGGAAATCGTTCGACAGCTGCTCAACTGTTACTGTTGCATTCTTTAATCTAAGACCTTGTTTGTCTGAGGCATGGATTGTCACTGCACGCTTTCTTTCCTGAAAGATGGTTAATGGTTAAAGAAAGATATATGTGTAATGGCTTTATAGAAAAGAAAGCTTACCATGTTAATTTTGGTTTGTTGATTTAAGCTCCATTGCTGCTGAGTAAATGGCTGTAAAGAAGCACTTGCAACCTCTAAATTTATCTCTGATGTAGCTGAATTCTGTTTAGCAGAAACAGTGTACATACTATGAGTCTATGACTAATAACGCTTTATATGTTGGTTTGTATTTTTAATTTTTTATATTTACTCATTCTGAAACAATAGTACTTTAACTTTTTAAAAAGGACAACATAGAAACAGGTCTATGATGCACTAAAAGGTGCATAGATTTTTCTTGGTATAATTAACTAAAAATTATTGAATATGCTAAATTGTTAAAGTTCTCAGGAATGTGTTGTATTTAAAAGAATTAAAAGTCATTTTCAACAGATGAAATGATACCATAAAGTAGAGGAGAGATAAGTTTGATGGGGAAGTCAAAAGAAAGCCACCCTTGATGAAAGACCAGCATCCTCTCCTGGCAATAACACTCCCTACACAATCTGTTTGTTCACCATTTTCTGACATCAGTGTTGCTGTCAAGAGAGCAGAATCTTCATTCTCTATTCTGATCCAACCTGTAGTTATCAGACAAAAAAACCAAATCCTTCTTCATCGCGAAATTTAAAAGTTGATATCATATTAATCATAATAAGATGGGGTATATAGAAAGAAACACCACTTCTTCTCTACATAAATTAACAAAAGTGTGAGGAATTAGAGGATACACCACCAGCAACTTAACTGGAAAAACAATAAATGGTGTCAGGGGTTAAATCTTGGAGCAGAAAGGTGGGGGTATAAACTCCCTTCCCGTCGAGCCCTACGACTTGTCGGGATTCTGCTTCTCTGTTGGCCAATACTCCTCCGCCATACAATGGCTCCTCTGGGTTCTGTTTGCACTGCAATATCCATATATGGTAATAATGCTTGTTGGACATGGTAAACACATGTTTTAAAATAAAAATATTTTTGATTTTCTCAACTATGGAGGGGTAGTTCAACAATCATAATTTGTAATTTCATATCTAGATTGTGCAATTATTTAAAAGTCAACATAAGATCAATGAAGCAGATCAATTTTGAAGTCAATGTGTTTGTTGCTGAAGTTGACCCAAATCGAATGTCTCGTGAGAGTTTAACTAGCTCTAATGTTTCATTACGATTTAGAATTTCCAAGTAAAAGATCAAACTGATAGGAGATTTAGTTGAAGACTAGTGTTCTAGTTTTGTATTTTTATATTCATCTGCGTGAATGCCTTGACATAATACATGTAGTAGAGCTATCACATGCCAGAATACATAAAAACTCAAGAGGCACAACAAATATAGTCACATAAAGTGCTCCTATTAAATGAAGAGATAGTCTAGATTCTTACCTCTGTGTAGGCTGAAGAGTCATATAGAGGTCCATCTGCAACGGGGAAAGCACATAAGCAATAACCCTCCATTTGTCTTGATGAAAATAATTTATGTTTAGAAAATGGTTTGTAAGAAGAGATTTTTTCCTAAGCAATCTAACACTAAAGAATTTGGATATTAAATCAATGATCATTCTACATTAGAATATTTCCTCACAGACAAACATTAGTCCTGTTTTATGTCCTGTCTCATACAATGACTTTTATTCTCCAAGTCCCAAACACAACTTATCTATTTGTCCCACCCAAGTTAGTCTCTGTGCCAGAACAAAAAAAGTGTATCTATCTCTAAAGGGTGTTTGTTGTAAAGGTAATGTACAAACAGAGGGGGAAGAGATTACCATAAATAGACAGGGAAGGAGCTGTGAAAAGGCAGAAAGACAAGAGGAAGATGCAAAGAAGTGGCAGATTTTTAATGCTTTTCATCTTCATTCACCCAAATCTTAGCTTATTGGGCATGGAGCTGCAGGTGACAGTTGTGGGTTGGTTTATATATATAATGCTGAAAAGAATTGAAGAAAGGGGAAGTTGTTGAGGCCAGAGGTGAGTAGGGACTAGGGATCACAAGATGAACAGTGGGGGAGTGGCGGAATGACAAAGGCAGTGGTTGCAGTTCACATGCACAGAATTAAGATCCGTGTATTGGACTAGTTTGTAGTGTGAAGGGGTGGGTTTATTATCATTGACATTGCCTTTTAACTTTTTGCCTATATAGACGCAGAACGTTTTTGGTACGGTTTTGGTGGCGTTTAGCGCAAAGTTGAGGATTTGGACTTCTTGCACTGGGGTGCTGCCCTGCACGCGCATTGGATTCATTTATTAATTCCTGTAATTTTATTAAGATGATGAATACTCCTAGACCCCGCCTTTATAATTTTATTAAAATTCACTCGTAGAATAATAAAATAAAATAAAATGTATGATTGGAACTTGCGGAAATAAATGGAGCACTAAAAATGTCACTATTATAATAATTGAAGGACCAAAAGTGTCATTAATATGAAAGTCGAAAAACTAAATAAGAAAATTTTTCAAAGATGGATACCAGTGTCTTTCGCACAATAGGTGAAGGACTCAAAGTGAAAAAATCAATATCGAGCACCAAAAGTATCAAGACATAATGGATGAAGGACTAAAAGTAGCAAAAACTCTTCGAATTTATTAACTTAAACTTTTTCTATTTTTAGTATTTAGCTTACTCGGCTTATGTAACTACATTTTAGATGTGAGTGTCATGGTAGAATGAGAGAGGAAGAGCCAAAAAATGAAATATACTAGTATATGAATTAGAGGAGTCATGAGTGATATTCTTCTTTTCGGGTTCGATGAGAATGTAACTTTCGAGAGAACAAAGTGGAGAGACCGTACTTGTGTGGAGGATTGATCTCTTCTTTTTTTTTAAAAAAAAAACTTTTATGTTTTTACTTTGCCAAAAAAACTTTATTGTTTACCTTCTATGTTTTTAACATTTTGTTCCTTTTATCTTATATTTTTTTCCATCCTTTTTTATCTTCATCTTACACTTGTGTTTATCTGTTTTTCATCTTTTTTATCATGCCTTATCTTGTTATGTCTTATCTTATTATATCTTACCTTTTTAGCTTTGGTTTCATGTGCCTAAATCCTAACTAGCTGATCAGACCAGACCAGACTTGGATAGTTATAAAAATAAAAAGAAACCAGACCAGACCAAACCAGTTCAGACTAGACCAGATCAGACTAGCAAATTACAGTCCAAGTAAAAACATACTAATACTTGAATGTAGTAGTTGTTAATAAAAGCTATGGTGTAGTATTTATTATCAATACGTTTACATAATACTCGATATTATACGAGTCAAATGTTACATATTTGTGATTTAAATAAAGGTTGTTTAATTACCTTCAAAAAAAATTGATTATTAACAAAAATGATATCTTTTAAATATAGTGATTATAGTACTGTAGACTAGTAATTTTAGTTATTGTAATTTATGTTCAACTTTTATTCTTGAGTGACCTGACGTAATAATAATAATAATTTTAGTATATTTTTGTAAATAAATTTTACCCATTATTTCACTAACACTTGAATTTTTTTTGGATTTAAAACTTGTTCGGTGTTGCGGGAATTTAATGCTCAGTCAAGTATATTTAGTATATTTGGTTTAGTTTTGTCGGAACTGGTCTGATCTGATCTGGTAAACGTCTGATCTCTGTATATTTTATAACTACGGAAGTCAAGTCTGATCTAGGCTGTTTAAGTCTGATCTTATCTATTTGGGACTCAAAACCGTAAGTAAGAACATCCCATGTCTTCATGTCAACTCTGGTACTAGTCCGTTGTGTACATGTTTTATTATTACTCGACTTTTGTTTTATCTGTTTGAATATATTCCGATTTAATTTATTCAAGTTGAATATCATTAGATATGAGTTAATACGTGACTCAGTTGACACGTCTGTTAGAAGTTTTTCTGATTCTTAATACAACAATGGTGAATTGAAATCGGTTTTGGGAGTTGGAATTGCACTGTGGCTGGGTGAGTTCTGTGGGGATAAAATCTGCACTTAGGCAACGACCCGACTTTATTTTGAGGATAAACATAATAAATCTATTTGTGCATTTTAATTACCTATATTTGGAGTATTTTCCGAAAATAATGCTAATTAAATAAATAATTCTCTAAATATTGTTAAGTTAAAAATAATTTCAAAATATTGTTGAATTAACTGAGGTTAAAAGCTAGAGTCGCCACTTGAAGTTACGGCTTTATTAAACATAACTCAATCCACTAACTTACACAACGTGTAATACGAAAGTTAACAACATATGCTAATGGGTCCCATCCAAATTAAAAATCTCTCATTTTCTTTGAAGTGTTATAACTTTTTTATTTGTACTTCGATTGTTATAAAAAAATATATCAAAAGTCATAATTTTTTATTATCTTTCATATGTCACCAATATTGAATATATAAAAACAAAAAATAATTTTACACTTTAAAAATCACTTCGTATTTGTTTTTAAAGTGTTATATATTTTTCATTTGTATTCTGATTATTACAAAAAATATATCAAAATTTATTATTTTTTATTATCTTTTATAGTAAAGCAATTTTTCGTATAGAAAAATTAAAAAGAAAATCTATTAATTTGTGTAGTTTAGGATCGTTTTTTACCATGCACACAATTAATCAAGAGTCATATATTAAAAAAATGCACAACCTCCACCACATTTATTTATTTATTTATTTATTTTTGTACGAGAATTTATGTTGTTTAATTTGTATGTTTTCCTATAAAAGATAATAAAAAATAATAAATTTTATATATTTTTTATAAAAGATAATTCTTATTACTTATTGCTTATTCTTATTTTATTCAGATCGGATCAGATCAGATTAGAAAAATTCAGATCAGATGAGAAAGATCCAAATCAGATCAGATCAGAAACATTTAGATCAGATTAGATCACAACCATCCAAATCAGATCAGATCATATCATATCAGAAAAATTCAGATCAAATCAGATCAGAAAAATTCATACCAACAACAACAACAACATCCAAGCCTTAATCCCAAAAGAATTAGAAAAATTCATACCAGATCTTAAAAAATTCAAATCAGAAACATTTAGATCAGACGAAGAGAACAGCTTCTAATAAAGTGATCTTCAAGTGTTAAATTATTTTTTGTTTTTATATATTCAATATTGGTGTCATATGAAAGAATAAAAAGTCATGAATTTTGATATATTTTTTGTAACAAACACAGTACAAATAAAAAAGTTACAACACTTCAAAGAAAACTCTAGATTTTTAATTTGGGTGGGACCCATTACTATATATAATTTTGACTTCGAAATTACATGTTGCATACGTTTTTCATAAGAGACGCCACTTTAAGTGGCGGCTTTCCTTAACCATGGTTAATTCATCAGTATTTTGGGAATTTTTTTTACCTAACAGTATTTTGGGAATTATTTATTTAATTAGCATTATTCTAGAAAAAACTCCTATATTTGAATTCTGTTTTAAACAAATTCTCTAAGAGTATATAGAAAAACACTAAACGCCCCATAAAGATGCTAATTAAGCAGACATTTTGAAATTGAGATCCTTTGCCGTTAGGGGTGGTAGCGGGTCGGATTTATGCCGGGTGAAGGTTCATCCGTCTTCCATTCATTAATTTTTCATAGTCCACTCACCCCGTCCATCATCCATTAAAATTTACATCCACAACCAACACATCCATCATGAACGGGTTATCGGGTGGATCAGGTGAGTAACGGGTGAATACAAAAGGTCAAACTTGAAAGACAAAATAAATAAATTATAAAGAGAAAGCATGACAAAAATTAAGAATTCATTGAAAAATAACTACAAAAAACTTGAGCAATTAAGTATATTACAATCATTAATTCAGTGCCGATGATAAAGAAAGAACTAATTGTCAAACAAAATAGATAAAAAAATTCTTCAAGTTGTCAATTCTACATTTCTGCATCAACACAAAACTATTTTTGCAGTTCAACGGGGCTAGGGTCGGGCTCCTATTTTAGTCGCTACAATGCTACTCCGCAGTTACGCAGTACTCCCTCCGTCCCCTTTTAAATGTCCCGGAAGAGGGTGACACGCGTTTTAAGAAAAGTAGGTTTGTGTGGTTGATATTAATAGATAAAGTAAGAATAAAGTAAGAATGATTTTGAGCCACACAAACTTTACCAAATAAGGTATGAGACAATTAAATAGGGACATCCCAATATGGTAAAATGGGACATTTAAAAGGGGACGGAGGGAGTATTTGTTAATATATCAATATTAATTATTATTATTATTATTACTATATATTATTAAATAGATATTATAATATATGTGTATATATATATATATATATATATATATATATATATATATATATGCGGGTCAGTGGGTGCGGGTGGATGGAGTGGGTGACGGGTCGGGTGATGAGTTGGATTAGTGTTCATCCACACCCGATCTAACCCGTCTTTCAATCCACCCGTCATCCATTTTTCATCCATATTTCTTCGGGTTTTCGTCCATATTTTTGGTTCGGGTTGTCTGGGTATCTGCGAGCGCGGGTGATATTGCCAACCCTATTTGCCGTACAACAAAGTGCCTTGCGGCAGGAAAACTGTTTGAACAGGAAAATGGTGCCTCAAGATGCGGACCACGAGATCTCCGAATGTTGAGTTTTGATCGAACGACTCCGAAAGGTCGGATACTGTGCCTTATTCTAAAGCAAGACAGAGACTCAGAATCCAACATTTTGAATCAACAAAAAAGTAGTTTGCCCGGCTTTTATTATACAAATAAATAAATAACTTTTACACCTACAAAAGTAACTTCAAAGATCCTAACACCGTCTTAAATTAAACTCCTTAAATCTATTTCTATGTTGGAAATAATGAATTCAATAGTTAGAAATAACTGTAATTATTTCTATTTTATTTATACTTTACTAAATATGTAGTAAATTTCAACTGT